CTCTGCTCACCAGGGTGCTCACCAGGGTGCTCACTGCTCCCTCTGTCTTTGTGCTCACCAGGGTGCTCACCAGGTGCTCACCGCTCCCTCTGTCTTTGTGCTCACCAGGGTGCTCACCGCTCCCTCTGTCTTTGTGCACACCAGGGTGCTCACCGCTCTCTCTGTCTCTGTGCTCACCAGGTGCTCACCGCTCCCTCTGTCTCTGTGCTCACCGCTCCCACCTTCGATTGCTCGCACTGCCGCCGCCCTTGCCCCGTCTGTACTTCCCCCTTCGCTGTCTTTGTCTCTCTTTGGTACGGCTTCTTGAAACCCTTTGGACGAGAGCGGGGTCGACCTTGGCCGACGCTGCTCGTCCACGTCTCCTCTTGTCGCCGTCACGCCCCGGTCGCGCCGAAGAAGACGACTCTGGGCGACGCCGGGGAGACGCCAGCTTGCTCCAGAGCAGAGCGGAGAGAATGTTGCCTAGTATCCGTGCACATTTTCTGATGAATGCGTTGCGTACCCAGTGGAGGCAGATAGCCCGTGAATGTGGCAAGGAGAGCCCCGACCGTCCGCTCGACCATCTCTCATCTGCGCCAGAGTGGCAGCCTCTGACCGCTCCGGGGCCTCTCCGGCGCCAACGCCACGCCGCGAGGAGTTCTCGAGTCGGCGGGGTCCTTCCTCCGCGGCGGCGGCCTGTTTTTGCGATTCGGCGGGCGGACATTGACGCATTGGGAAGGTCGTTGCCCGTCCGGGCGCGGCGCGGCGGGGCCGGACGGCGGCGCGGTCTGACGGTCCATGACGGGTAGGCAACTACCACCGGCCCGGCGTCGCGTCGCCGCCGTCTGGTTCGCCACCCCCCGCCGGCGCCCACTCGCCTCTCACCACCCTCTGCCGCCGGGGTGCGGCGTGCGGGGGCGCTAGGTAGATGGGTCTGGCTGGCAGGGCGACGAGGGGTCCCGGTAAAATGTCAATGGTGTCCCTAACGAGTTCAAAATGTCATCCCCCGTTGGCGCGGGCTCGGTGAAGCGGAGGGCTCGGTTTGGTCACACACCCCTCGTCTCGCCACCGCCGTCCCCGTGCCTCCGAAAGGTGCCCCTCCTACATCCTCAGGCAGTCCGATGAGGCCGGAGCAGCGTCCCCGTGGTTATGCCGCACTGCACTGCAGGCGTGCGGGCGGGCTGCCTACTCGCTCGGGGCTGTGAGGTGATCACCGCCGCAAGCGTGCCGTGCCGTGGTCACCGCCGTCATCCGCGATTGGCAAATTTTGCCCGCGTGCCTGCATGCGGTGTGGTGCGGTGTAACCACAGAAGAACAGATGTGGCTCTGTGGTCTGCGGACCTGGGCCACCCTGTAGTACCGTCTGTAAAGGCAATACACCATGGTGTTGCGGGTTTGCCTACCCGATCTGCCCGTAAGGCGCCCTAGTCTCGGCCCTAGCCCCTTGGGTGTGCAAACCCGCAACACTGGGGAGTAATAGCCTTTACACTCTGTACAGGTGCAGGGTCCCCTCGTCGCGCTCCTGGTTCTGGTCGTCCTGGCTATCCCGGCCCTGGCCGTCCGCCCCGCTCCGCACTGCTGCGTTTGTTTGTTTGTTTCGCAAGTGGTTGGCCACTCGGCTCGGCCGCGCGACGCGACGCGTTTTGTTGCGTGCCTTTTGAGGTGGGTCTGCTCTTCTCTTTCGGTCCTCTGGCGTGACGGACGGCGGGGGACGCGGTGGCGGGGCTGGAGCGGGGTGTCCTATGGAGGCCCTGGCGGTGCCGGGGCGTTGCGAGAGAAGAGCACGACGCAATGAATGGGCTTAAAGGGCGGCTTAAAGACACCTCGGGAGGTGGTGGTGAGGGTGCTCGCCTCGCCCTGCTCGGCCGCCTGGTGGAGGCCCCGCTGCTGCAGTCTGCGCGTGCCGAGGAAGAGCTCTGAGGAAGAGCGAGAAGGAGGAAGAGGGATGGGAGAGGCGCCGGCACGGAATGCTGGGCCGCCGCGCTAAACTGCCGTCTCTGTGCTGATTTACCTCATTGAAAGGTGGCTGGAGAAGGGTGGGGGAGGAAGAGTGTGACTTTGCTAGTGTGTGTGTTTCCGGTCCGGAAGAGTCCATCCCCTTCCAGCGCTTCACTGCATATCTCTTCCCTTGGTCTTCCCTCCACGACCCAACCGCTGCGCGGGGGGGGGAGGGGGTAAGTCTGTATTCCCCTGCGCGAGCCTGCCTGCACCAGCTTGCTCAAACCTGCACACCGGCGCCGTGGCGTCGTCATAGGAACACGGTGGGTCGGCGGGCGTCGCTGGGGGTGCGGGGTGAGTTGAGGAGGGGTTGACTGTCGTGCCCAGCTCCCTGAACACGACTGACACGCCGCTCAACAAGTGCCTGCCCGCCTGTCTCGCTCCTTCCCGCCCCCTACCTCCCCCCTGTCCTGTCATGTTCACGTTCACCCTGGAGAACAGGCACCTGCCTGTCCGTCTAAGGTCCTGGTGAAACGCAGTATAATGAGTTGTGCAACATCGTGTTCAGGCGCGCGCATAGTATCCCGCACTGTGTTTCAGGCTCAACAACCGCTGTCGTGGTCTGTCCCTGGAAAAATCCTGACTCCTGGCGTTTTTGTGTTACAGGTCAGATGGCGCTGAGTCGCCTGTACTGGAAGACAAGGAGTCGCCGATTTTACCTGATAAGCCTTCTAGGGTAAAATATGGCGAGCTTGTCATCTTAGGGTAAGTGGCCTGCCATTGTATTTCAGCTAACAGTGAAAGAAGAATAGTGGGTAAAACACAAACGTCACTTGGTTATCGATTTACCCGCCGTTAGATCGTCCGGGTAGGCGAAGCTCGACTAATCAGGGACGTTTATGTTCTACCCCCTATTTTTGTTCCTCTACAAGCTGAACTATCCTTTTACATGTTAAAGAAGGAAAATTAATGGGAAAAGTCTGCAATTTTCCTATATCACTCAATTGTCTTTGCAGATACAATGGGTTCCTGCCACCCGGTGACCGTGGACGCAAGCGATCGAAGTATGTTCTGTGGAAGCGGCCTGACCCTAATGGGGTCAAGAGGTCAAAACACTATGTTGTCAAGACACCCCACAATTCACAGGTCAGACTCTTCACTATTTATGCTTGAGGTTTTTCATTTTGTATCCGATTTATGAAGTGTATTATATTTTTGTTTTCTTCCTCAGGCTATTCTCGACAGTCAGCAACACAGTATATCATATACCCTATCAAGAAATCAAGCAATTATTGTGGAATACATGCCTGATGAAGATACAGACATGTTTCAGGTTTGAAAATCTCCCCCTCCCCCATACATGTCCCACAATCTCCTTTGCAATCACTAATTGAAAGACATTTTACAGATTGGTCGATCCTCTGAAAACCCTATAGACTTTGTGGTAGTTGACACAGTTGCTGGAGAGAAAAATGGTGACAGTGGAAAAGTGGTGCAGAGTACCATATCTCGGTTTGCATGCAGAATACTTGCTGAGAGGGCCAATCCAAGTGTTGCACGCATATATGCCGCTGGTTTTGACTCCAGTAGAAATATATTTCTAGGTGTAAGTACCAATAACATTTTTAAGTCCATTTGTATGTTGTTTACTTTCTCTCTAAATCAATCAAATCTATTATCTGCAGGAAAAAGCAACTAAGTGGCAAGAAGGCCGGGACATTGATGGCCTGACCACCAATGGGATTCTTTTGATGCACCCTCAAGGTTCATTCTGTGGGGGTGACTCAGAGCCTGGTGTTTGGAGGGAAGTTTCTGTATGTGGCGGCATTTATTCCCTTAGAGAAAGTCGATCAGCTCAGAAGAAAGGTCGCGCAGTGAGTATTTACTGAAAATATACCAAACTGAGTTATACAAATTAATGATTCTGGGGGAGATAGACAAGGACACTGATTTTGAAGGATTGTGTTTCACAGGTTGAGGAAGTGACCAACGTTCTTCAGGATGGCACCCTTATTGATCTCTGTGGAGCCACTTTGCTCTGGAGGTCAGCGGAAGGCTTAGAAAAAAGTCCGGTAAGTTGAATTTGTGATTTGAAGCATCCATCTGCTCATTAAAGGATGTACTGTATGCTAATAATGCTTTATTGTAGACCAAAGACTACCTGGAAAATCTGGTAGATAAACTGAATGCTGGTCGGCCAGTTTGTCCAGTCGGACTAAACACCCTAGTCATTCCTAGGAAGTCTTCATATACTGGACCTGATGGTGGTGCTGATAAGCAACAACCATATGTTTATCTGAATTGTGGGCATGTTCAAGGTAGCCATGATTGGGGACATGAGAAAAACTCTCATACAAGAACATGTCCACTGTGTACAAAGGCAAGTACTCTGTCTTACCTGTCAACTTTTCTTAGAATTTTATTACATTATGTGCGCTAACATTAGAATGTTTCTTGATTTAGGTTGGGCCTGTGCAGAAACTTTGTATGGGTATAGAGCCAGCATTTTATGTAGATGCTGGGCCTCCTATATTTTTTGCATTCAATCCTTGTGGTCATATGGCAACTGAAAAAACTGTGAAGTACGTACTAATATCAAGTTTCCACTGTACCTCTTAGTTTGACACATTTTCTAATCTAACTTCTCACCTTGTTTCTACAGATACTGGGCAAGTGTAATGATTCCTCATGGCACCAATGCATTTGAATCGTTTTGTCCTTTCTGTGCTACACCTCTGGAAGGGTTCCCAGGATACGTTCGATTAATATTCCAGGATAATGTTGATTAGTAGTCTCCTGTGTTTTTATTTTATACCGGTGGTATCAGATTTTACTGATACTGTGTTCATTTTGCTCTGAACCGGGTGCCCAAATTTAAAATTGT